TAACCCATGAAACCTGGTCCTTATTCATCAAAAATAAGTTCCTCAACATGGCTACAAGAAGGAAAAAGAGAAACTAGCAAGCTGTCCGGACTTTTCAGCACTAGGATCGCGCCGTAACACCCGGAATACCCTAGGGTTTGTGTGGGATTTTTGGGTAGGAGTTGCAGGGGTTCAATTAGGTTTTCAAAGTATGAAATATGGGTGAAATAAATGAGTTTATAAGCCTTTAAATGTCCCCTCTTGGCCGACTTTAGGAGGTTTAATTGAGACCTCTCCTTTTGGCAAGTAGGTGATGCACCTACTTGTCACCTACCTGTCTGTCTTGCAAAAATGCAAATATCTCTCTACTACAATATTGTATCAACAAACAGTTTAATGCTTTAGAAACTGGATTTATAGATATTTAATTTGGTAGGTAGATCATCCCCTAATTCCAAGTATATTAGGAGAAAAGCTCAGTTACATCTGACCTAATTTTCAGCACATTTATGAATGGAACTTGTGATGACCTTTTCCAACTTTTGTTCCATAACTCGCTTGACTTCAAAACATAAAACCAACTATCATACGACTAAAATAACTCATATTATAATCTCCTTATAATGTTAATAACCCTAGTCTCACCCTAAAAGTACATGGTAAAACATTCCAACTTGTCGACTTTCGACGAAACTTATTTTCTTCAATTCGTTTAGCTTCTAAGCCTTCAAACCCTCTTGCTACTTGCTATTAATAATCTTAAATATTCTTAACCTCCATGTCAACATGATGAACTAACTTTGTAAACTTTTCAAAGATGATTCCCTTTCTGAGCTTGCATTAATTGACTTATGACGTACTCTTACGTACGAAAACATGGGGTGTAACAATTAGTTCCCATACCGAGACTGATATTGTGAGTATTTTGAAGCAATGTTTGACTGACACGCAGCTTCAAATGTTACGTGCTAGTTGTTTTGGGTACTTCTTGGACCTCCCTCAATTTAAAATTTAAAATTCAAAATCAACTTATTCATTGTATACTATTGAGGGAAGTCGTCCCAGGACGGGAAAGGGAGTTGTGGGTGAAAATTAATGGTTGTTTGCTGCATTTTGGCATTGGAGAGTTTGCTGTTATCACTGGTTTGAAGTGTGTAGAAGAAGACGCCACTTTCTATGACAAACCAGATGTCAATAGGTTGCTAAAAGAGTATTTTCCAGGAGATGGAAAAAAAGCTATAACGAGGGGGCAACTTCTTGATCGCTTCAAGAAAAAAGGACTAGAAGTCGGACGAAGATGCGTTCAAGATGGCCTTGATGGTGTTTGTCTATCATTTCATATTATCATATGCCAATAATCATAGTATAAACAAAGATGATTTTGATATCATTGAAAGTGGTTAATATCAAACGTATGCTTGGGGAAAAAAGTCATTTAAAGATATTTTAAAGACAATGAGGGACAGACGCTGTGACTATTTGACAATGTATAGGCTTGGAGGTTTGCCACTTGCATTACAAATATGATTTTTTGAGTGTTGCTATATGGTTAACAAGCATCTAGCTGTTCGCGTTGGCACAAATGTGACACGCATTCTTAATTGGAAAGTAACTGAAACTCCAACATATGCGGATATGACTGGCGGGGTGATCATGTCTAGTATCATCAAGGTAAACATTTTGTACCATAATACTTCTTCATATATGATTTCAATTTTTCTGTAAGTATGTATACTTATGAATATGTCACAATTTCCTTTTTCTACTACTGTAATCTAGTTTTTCTTCTTGTAGATGAACTATAGGAACATTTCCCCTACTCGTGAAAAGATGTCAACTCTGAACATCGCCACGCTTTTTGAAGTTAATGCTAATGATGTTGTATCAGGGGAGGTGCCTGCCTTTCACACTGATGATTCTGTTGTTGCATCTCCACCTTGTCCTTAGAATATGGAGCAACAATCTAAACGTCCTTATCCTCAGAATACAAAGCAACAATCTAAATGACCTTTTCCTCAGAATATGGATTGACAGCCTAACTCAAGTTATGATCATTTGGTGTGCATTGATCTGTTGAATGCTGAAGTTGAGAAGTTGAGGAGTGCTGTTGGAAAGGTACTAAAGCTTTAGCTTTTCTGTAGTTTATCGGTACTTTTTGTATATACATGATTTTTTGGTTATAAACATGGTTCTTGATTTACTTTTGTTATTTTTTGTTGTAGTTGACTGATACAGTTACGACATTCAATAGTCATGTAGTTTCTTCCTTTGAAAAAGTGTTCAGTTTTCTAAATATAAAGGAAACCAAGCAAACTAGGGAGGATGTTACTGATTCTAAGGTAATGTTTTACTGATAAAACCAAATCACTCAACAGTTATGCCTTCTCTGAATCATCATTCAATAGTTATGCCTTCTCTTTCTATTATTTTTTATTAGATTCATCAGCGCGTGTCTGATGACAATACATCTGGTCTCGGCGAATCTGATGGCTATCAATATGATGTTGTTCTTGACTTTGTCGATCAAGTGAATCAAGATAACGTGCTAGCTGATGAGGGAGTCAATGATGGTGTTGATCATGGTATTCGTTCTGCATTTTATCTTTTTTTGTCTGATTTTTCTTTTTTTCATTTTGAAAGTTTTTTATTATTGATTTTCTCTATCTAAGGGGCAGCAGGTGATGTCAAAGGTGACAAATTTTGGGATGACATTGGCGATGAAGATTTAGCTGCACTATAGATGTCCCAAATTGTGCTTCATAGACCATCCATTATAGACGTAGAAGAGGATTATATTTCTCCTGAACAGTCGGTTCGACAGAAAATACCAGGAAAATATGCCAAATCTCCATATTTGCTAGTTTTTGATTCAGGGGCATCAGGATCGGTGGACAAGCTCATTTTTTATATCAAGCATCCTTTCACAATCGAAATTGATGATTTTGATCCATTGTCGCCATTGGCTAAAGAGTTTTATGCGTTTGTTGATAATGGGATGGATACGAGGCGAATGTATCTTAACTTTCTTTAATCTTTCATGTTCTGATTTTATACTTGTCAATGAAGGTGGTTCTGATTACTTTTTATTTTTTGTGATTTGAAGTGGCAAAAATATATATACCGATGAGGTAAATAAGCTTGCAGAAGCTTTTACTTTTGGCTCGTATCATGTGACCACGAAGAATTGGTTCCATTCACTTGCGTATTGTGGTCGACCTTTGATTGACACGGTATTTAATAACTTTTTGTTCTAATGCCTTTTTTTATTTGTTGCATATCTTTATTGTTTGAGACCCCCATAGTGTATACATAGCTTTGTATAATCATAGTATAAGATTGTATAACTTTGTATAAATATCTATAACTACGTATAATAGTGTACAAATTTCTATATTTAAAAAATTTAGTAGTGATGGTTATTTTGTTTTATTTTTTGTATCAGCACTTGGATGTCCTCTTTTATTATTTGAGGAAGAGGGGAAAATATGGACTGAATGTTGCCATGCGGTTTACTACAACCGACTTTGTCTTTGGTAACAAAATCAACTCCCTGTATAAAGATTTCAAAGTGAATCAAGATCCTTCAGTGATTCCTAAAGGGCATGAGATAGAAGAGTACATTAGAGGATATTATTGTGATGCAAATGTACCATGGCACACTGTTGACCACGTCTTATTCCCTATCTATGTGAAGCGTAGAAGAGCAAAATTGGGCCATTGGGTTTTGAGGTTGTTTACGTTCATAGATATGTGCATCCATATCTATGACTCTAACCGTGGAGCTATTAATGATAGACGTGCTTTGGATGTTGCATTACCTTATGCAATTCTAATACCTTACTTCTTGAAGAGTTCTAATTTTTACGTCGAAAAGAAGGGCATTGATTGGAACAATGGTGCATATACCGATAAATCCCATTCCGATACTTTGCAAATCAATCTGGTTAATAATGTGCCCCAACAGATCAAATTATAGGTTAATCAACTGTTTTACTATTTTACTATTAGTGTACCTATTTATAGTAACGTACAGAGAATCTGGTTTGTTTTTAATTACAGTGATTGTGGTGCTTTTGTTGCTGGCTTTGCTGAGTATTTCATCCTTGGTAAGGAAATTCGAAAAGATAATTTTTACATTGAGACACTTCGCACTAGGTGGGGACCTCTGTTGTGGGATTATGGAAGAAAAAAACAACAGTCCTGTGCAATTAGTGGTGATGAATCACAGGGAGACTTTTCAGGAAGAGGAAGAGGGGACGATCGAGAAAGTAGTTATGTTTTTTCTATTTTACTGTAGTTTTGCTATGTATCAGGAGTTGTTGCCTAGTTTTGTCTAAGTACTATTCATCTACTTGTGAGATAACCTTAAAGGATATTATAGATATTTTTATTTTTGTGTAATTTGTGGTAGTCATTACACATTGTAGTTGTGAATGAATTATATTTTAATGAATATTTCAGTTGCTTTTGTCCTTTAATATGTATTTTCATTATGGTTACAGTTTTATTAATGTTGTAGGGTTTATACATATGTATACAATACTATACATAGTTATACAATTTTATATAAACTTATACTCTCATTTATACATCTTTATACATATAATACCATTGATTGTTTGCAGTTTTGTTTTGTATTTGTACAATCTATCAATATATTTAGCACCATTACAAACAATAAGACACTATTATTGAATAATCAAAATATGTATAATGAAACATATTTAACATAATTGCAATATATAGTGTAAATTGTACTTATTTATTGACATTTGTAACTCGATTGCTTGTGAAACTTAACTACTCAACATTTGTAACTCTATTGTTTGTGAAACTTAACTACTCAACATTTGTAACTCTATTGTTTGTGAAACTTAACTACTCAACATGACAACAAATGTAATAAGAAGTGTTATGTTTCCAACTATTTATTTTGGTCGATTCCTACATGTTTTTCTGTTGTGACCACCTTGTCCACACACAGAACATGAAAACGCCCTCTTAGACTCTTTCTCTGAAGCAGGTTTGAGTCTTTCCTTTCTTGGCCTTCCTGCATTCCTTCTCCCTTTAGGTGGTAGGACCACATCTTCCAACACCTCTGTAAGGATTACCCATAAACTCTCATTTGGCATCGGATTTACTGGAAATTCATAAGTTCTAAGGAGGTTATCCTTCTTGTAGCAAAAAGAGCAATACTGGCCAGGTTTCAGCTGCTGGTTCTTCAAAACCACCCAAGCATGCGGATATGGAAGTTCATCCATTTGAAATTTTCCACAACTGCATGTTCCCTCTTCAAGGCACATTATGTTTCGCCTTACCCCTTCAAACACAGTATATAAGTGCTTCGTAGCAGGCCCCACCTACGAAAGTTTTTTTTTTTTTAAAAAAGTTAAAGAACATTATACATTATTATAATATTCTTTAATAATGTATACAGAGTTATACATCCTTATACAAGCAGTAAAATGCGAGTCAGCAGTGCCAAACATCATTATATTTGATTCTTTTACCGTCATTTGATCCGATGCAATCAAATTTTCCCGAAGGAGTTTGTCGTACTTTTCGCCAAGCTTTGTAGATGTCTCCATTGCACTTTTTCTGTTTTTGTTGTTCCACTGTTGTAGCAAATTTGTCATGTACTCCAGTAATCTCATTACTAGTAACTTTCTAGCATTCTTGTGTGCTGCATTAATTGACTCTGCAATATTGGAAGTCATTACTATCGACCTTTTCACTTTGGAGTTTGTAGCCAATTTCGAAAAAGTAAGGCTGCACCCTCGGATCAATTTTGCACATCTCTGTCATATGGTAGTCAAACTTCTCTATCGTGTAAGCTCTAACCAAAGCAAAGAAGATATCCTTCAATTGTTTGTGATGTTTTTTGAATGTGCGCTTTACATTCTGCCACAAGTGAAACATGCAAATACAATGTGGTACTTCTGGGTACACAGCTTTTGTAGCATTGAAGATGCTTTCGTTTCTATCTGAAACTATACAGATCCCTTCCCTAACACCAAAAGTACCCTTTATCTGGACAAAGAACCGCTCCCAAGATTTGTTATTCTCTGAATCTACAATTGCATATGCAAGTGGAAGGATTTTTCCTGTTTATACAAAATAGATATTAGGATTCAGACAATTATACAAATCTTATACACAATTATACACAATTATACAACTTTATACCAACTGCAAATTTTATAAAAACAACAGTGTGAAATCCTATACACTTTTATACATGAAACTACAACATTATACAAACTGCAGAAACAAGGTAGATACAGTCAACTCACCAGCTCCATCCTGTGTGCAAGAAGTCAATATGGTACCCTTATATGCTGCTTTAAGGAAACTTCCATCAACAACCATTATCGGTCAGCAATGCTCCCAACCCTTGATAGATGCATATAGCGAAACATATGCATAAAAAAAGCATCCATCTTCTGATTTGTGCAACTTTGTAACTGTTCCTGGATTTGTATGCTCCAACATATAAAAATACTTCGGCAACTCCTTATATGAATCACTTGAATTCCCTCTTATCATTGCCATTGCTATCTCTTTAACTCTCCATGCTTTCATGTAGTTTACTTCAATCCCGTGTTGCTTTTGTATGTCCTCTATTATATCATTTGCGGTGTAAACTTTTTTTGGATTAACATACTTGTCCTTGACTATACTAGCAATTATACCCGAAGTAGCTTGACGTTGTGTTAAGTATATTTCACCATAGCCGCATGTGTGTTATTATTGTAACTTCTCACCTTGAATATGTTTACCTTGAAAGCGCCAGAAGATTTAAAACTCCAAGCACAATTAACATCCACACACATAAGGTGATACCTAGGATTAAATATCATTCAACTTCTAAATACACTTGTATACAAAAACATAACTAGATATATACTAATTTTAAAACCTATACAAATATATACTACTTTATACATATTTATACATATATATAACATAATATACAACTATTGCCATACCTTGTTGCGCTTGATCTCTTCACCTTGAATTGGAACCTCTCGCGTACAGCCAAGTTCTTCATCACATTCATAACTGTCTCTTTATCTTTATAAACTTGATCCTCCTCAACAAATTCATTCAACATATTATCTATTATACCCGTGTTTTCACTAAATTTCATGTTTTCAATGAATTCAATATCAGACATAATCTCAGTGCTATCAATTGTGGATACATCTATAGAATTGGAACTTGTAGCAACCAAACAACTAGAACTTGTAGCAACCAAACGATTATCATAAATCTCTTTCATTGTCACAAACAAGGGGTATTAAGTGAAATTCAAATTTTTCTTCTTTAATTCGATATATACCTTAACACCCGTATCGTTGTAAATCAGGATCGGTGGCAAACCATCATTTGGGAGAAAGTTATCTCTATTGTGTTTAACTCACTGTCGATCCTAATCTGTTCCGAAATAGTTGCAACTAAATTGTTGTAGCTGAATGTCGACTCAATTATTACACAATCGCTGACGAAATTGATAAACTTGTTTTCTACCCATTCACCACTATGAAGAGTGTAAACTGGAAAAAGCTCCATCGAACAAAAAGTTGAAATCAAAATTGCAGCAAAAATGAAAATTGCACTGATTTGCAGCAAAAATATTTCACTTTTCGTATTTGATTTGCTATTAATTCGAGATGAAGAACTTCTAGGGTTTTTGGAGTTGCATTGGCCGCAAGATCGCATTTTTGTTGATTTGGGGAAGAAGAATGGAAAGAATGAGAGAAAATCCCGCTAAAAGATACACAATCCCGCTTCTGAGTCCCAAAAACGAAAATAACACCCCTTTTTCGGATATGGGCTTGTTATTTTTTGGGCTACTCAATTGTAAATTGAAATATAGACTATAAAGTTGAAAAGAAGGCAGCCCAATTGTATTAATATGAAATTTTCCCTATATATTCATGTCAAAAACGTTATGAGCTAGTACTTATACTCTTCCACCGCCATGCATACAATTCAAAAATCAACGACATCCATGAGCTATAATAAATTGTATTATTACAATAGTTGTAGATTCTTATTCTTCAATACTCTTACAAAACTTGGATGTATCCTTATTAAACTTGAAACGCGTAAACTAAACTGATAGTTATCAGATGATATCTTTTAATAGCACCATAACAAAGACCAGATCCTTGCTTTAACAATATCGGCCTTTGTCATTTTATTTCAATCAACAATTTTACCAACCAATCTTCGGAGGTATCACTAAGTTGAGGTCAATTTATTCACGAGGCATTTTTCGTAATGATATCAATTAAGATCATTAGATCTTGATAATAGTGGATTCAATTTGAATTTTTAGTTTGCTTCTTTGCGTATGAATTAGATTAAGGGTTATAGTTACTTTGCCAATTCAAGTTTTTAAAAAAAAAGTTATTATATAAGTAAATCTTATTCAATTTTAAATTCTTAATTGAATGTTAGGATACATAAAAGACTTAATATCTAAAATTCTATTTAACTTCAAAGTGTTATATGTTAAGAATTTAATTAAATAAAATTTTATCTAATGTGTAACATATTTTTAAAGACTAAAATATTCTCGTGCGTAAATCTTGCATCGGTTGCTACAAAATTTGTACCCATAATATTAAAATTTTAACCAATACATATCCTAAATAATTTTTGAGTTAAGAAATAGAAATTCAAGAAAATTGTTGAGTTATGAAATGCAAATTTATGGATACGAAAGTTTCTATTCATTCGAAGTCATAATCTTACCAAAAAAATATATTCTAATATATCTATTTTAGTTATCTAATTGAGAACAGAATGATTTGATATCTTTTAAATCTCAAAGGATGACAGAAACTACCGAACAATTAAAAACTTATTACGGAAGAATTGATGTACGAAAAGGATTTATTTAAGGTTAAATTTTAATCGGTTTTAAAGTTATAAATATTAGGACTTCCTAAATAATAGTTCAGATAAGGAAATATTTAGTAAGTAAAATTTTAATTGATTCTAAAGTCCTACATATTAGGACAATAATTAAATTATAATTTTATCCAACGTAAATTATAATTTTATCCAACGTAAATTCTAATTTTAAAGGGTAAAAAAGGCGAACGACATTTTGATAGGGCCTTCATGCTTTTAAAATAGTACTAGTTTTAGTGTACATGTGTTGCACGTGTGCATCGCGTTAATCAATATAAAATATATATATTGTTATGAAATAAAAGCAATTTAGTAAAACATAAACAAGAAATATAGATAGAGAGAAGGAAGAGATTTTCTTCTTCAATTGTGTGCATCTTTCTATTGCAATTACATAGCCTTTTATAGGCATAAAGAGAAAAGATGATGGACATAAAGTAGGAGATTTAATCTTTAAGCTATTCACAACATGGGCATTCAATGTAGCATCCAATGTACAAACTATTCATAACACTCCCCCTTGGATGTCCATGTAAGATAATGTGTCTCATTAAGAACTTAAAAAAATATTGGGATGTACATAGTTATTTATAATATGCATTGCTTGCTGCCTCATTAAAAACCTTATCAGGAAAACCCAGTGGGACAAAACCTTGGTTAAGGAAAAGAGTGCAGCGTGTAGTTACTCCCCTTGATGAAAAATCACTTAATGTCTCGAAGACGACGCATTTCAATCTTATATATCAGCTTTTCAAATATTGAGGTTGGTAATGCCTTAGTGAACAGATCAACCAAATTATCACTTGAACAAACTTGTTGTACATCTATTTCACCATTCTTCTGAAGATCATGAGTGAAAAAAAAATTCGGTGAAATGTGTTTTGTTCTATCTCCTTTGATATATCCTCCTTTCAATTGAGCCATGCATGCAGCATTGTCTTCATACAATATTGTTGGAATATTCTCTTTCGAAGAAAGACCACATGTTTGCTGAATGTGTTGAGTTATCGATCTCAACCAAACGCATTCTCGACTTCCTTCGTGAATGGCTATTATCTCTGCATGTTTTGAAGAAGTAGAAACCATAGTTTGTTTTGTTGAATGCCGTGATATGGCTATACCTCTACTTGTAATAGCCTATCTGAGATCGACCTTTGTGTGTATCAGACAAATATCCTGCATTTGCATAACCAATCAATGATGGCTTGAATTCATTTGAATAAAATAAACCCATATCAATGGTCCCTTGGAGGTATCTGAATATATGTTTAATACCATTTCAGTGTCTTTGTGTTGGCGAAGAAATAAATCTTGTCAATAAGCTTACTGAGAAAGCTATATCTGGTAGGGAATTATTGGCAAGATACATTAATGCCCCAATTGTACCAAGATATGGTACTTCGGCACCAAGAAGCTCTTCATCATTTTCATGAGCTCGGAATGGATCTTTCTTTATATCAAGTGATCTCACAACCATCGGGGTACTCAATGTATATGTTTTATCCATATAGAATCGCTTTAAAAACTTTTCGGTATATGTTGATTGATGGACAAATATTCCATCTTTCATATACTCAATTTGTAGACCAAGACAAAATTTTGTCTTTCCAAGATCTTTCATTTCAAATTCTTTCTTCAAACAGTCTACTGTTTTTGGAAGCTCCCCAGGAGTTTCAATGATATTTAAATCATCAACATACACGGCAACTAAAATAAATTCAGATCCAGACCTTTTTATAAAGACACAAGGACAAATTAGATCATTTTTGTACCCTTCTTTCAACAGGTATTCACTCAGGCGATTGTACCACATACGACCTGATTGTTTGAATCCGTATAAGATTTCTGAAGCTTTATTGAACAAGTTTCTCGAAAACTTTTATATGCTTCTGAACAATTTAAATCCTTCAATAATTTTCATTGTAAGCATATCAAGTTTTTCATGTATTGCCAGATTAAAATCTTAAATGACTACATCCACCATACGAGAACATGTCTCTATATAGTCAATGACAGGATATTTATAAATATTCTTGTGACACAAGTCGTCTGTATGTCTATCGACTTGACCTTTTTCGCACAAGAACACATTTACCTCCATTGGATTTATACTTTCAAGTGTTGGGACTCCGTCCATTATATTTTTCAAGTGAAGTCAATTTTCATTGAATATTTGGCCAATCATTTATCTGTCCAAATTTCATGACAGATTTGAGCTCAAGATCCTCGTCAATATTAATAATATTGAGCGCTACATTATGTTAACAATATCGTCGACGATCATTTTATATTGGTTCAATTATTACACAATAAAGACATAACTTATTGAGATCTCTTTATCTCATTATTTTTCAGGTACCTGAACCTCTCACATGAGGTTTTACGAAGTGTTATGTCATGGTGCTCTTCTAGAGCACTTGCCTCCTTATTATGACCATTTTGAA